AAGAAATCCAAGTATTTCTCTGGAGAAAAGCCTATAACACAATAAAAAGATTGTGAATTTCATGCCCCATAGTATATCTAAAGCAAGATAGCAACTGAGCATATGTGGATTAAGACTATAATTTATAATGAATAATTTTATACTCTGTAACGTGAAAAACACCCATAACAGTCAAACTCTTATTTTTCTTTCACATGTATAAAGTCAAAGTCCAATCTACCTCTCCTAACTGGTTCATATTAATTTTTTTTCATTGCTCAACAATCTGACACCAAGTAGAGAGCTTCCTCCTTTACTGAAAGCATCTTTATTCAGTCACAGAAGTTTTTTGAAAGTGCGAGTAAAACTGTGTATTTGGTCCAGGATTAAGAGGGAAGTTTTGCATTCTGGTTTCCTTTTCAATTGTATCTGGATAGACATCAAAACAAAATAAATGGATTGTAAAGGACATTATAATTAGTCCATGGTAAACATGAAGGTCCAACATTACATAATTCTTTCCAAGAAGCTGACAGGAGATAAAATGTAACCCCTGGTAGAGGTGAAAAGAGAAACTAGAGGCATGAGATAAAGTATGTGGGCAGTTTACAGCTACTGACAGAACTGTGTGCATGCACAATGTGAATCTAGAAGGAAAAAATAGGGATTTGATGAAGTCTAAGATAAAGGGCTCGTCCTAATTAAGACTAGGAGACCTTGCAAATTTTTTCAATAGGCTTGCTAATGGAGTATGTTCCTATATAAGGACTTGAGACATTATCTAAACACTGACTGAAGGATGCTTGTTCACTTGTTACACAGAGATGACATCACTGAGAAGATTAATCTGGAGTTCTAGAGGTAAAGAAGACTGATTAGCTTGTGCAGGTGTATGACAAATGACACATTAGGCAAAGGGTTATGTAAACCATTCACTAAAAAAACAAAGACTGGACTTTTACATTCCCAGGCCCCTACTTATCTTTTTCAAACTATGAAGGACCTGAAATTCTTTGGACATCATCATATTTAGTGGATAACAGTTCCACTTTTGAATTAAGAAATTATTTGTATAGTTTTAAAACACAAAGACAATTAAAATTTTCAGTCAGGTTAAACATGTATACACTTCCTCACTTTTTCAAGAAACCCACCACTAATGTATTTAGATCTTATCAACACTATATTTCTGTTTTTTAAAACATTATTCCTTCTAAAATTAATGTGCTAAATAAAGATTTTAAAGTATTGCATACTGTTTCAGTAAGAGGCACATAAGTTAATTAGAATATTAGCATTATCTTTTAATACAAAAGTAGAACTCATGGTCATCATTTTACTGATAGTACAGGAAGGAAAAAATAATTAACCAGTGCTGAAAAATAAATGAAAATTTACTTTTATTATTTATTATTTTACATGCAAAGCATATTAAAAGTAAATCTATATCAAGTTGACTACTCCACAACGAAAACCTATGCAATGGGAATTATGAAAGCTGTCTACACAATATTAACGTGATCAAAAATTATCCACGTTTTTCTACAAATATTTGGATTACCTGAATTAGCTGATTTTTCAACAAAACAGTAAATTTTAGCTTTTATACAGTCTTTGCTGGTAGCAGCAGCCATCTGATACTTAAATTTAGAAGAAAAACATAATAATAAAAAACCTGAACAGCACAACCAAATCTTTTAAGAAATGAGTTCACCAAAAAAAGTAATATACACCTACTAGGTATTCAGAGGGGGAAACAAAACAAAGCAGGCAGGAAATAAATGTCCCCCAAGTGATCACCACTAACATTCCATTATCACCAAAGAGATGGCCACTGGTTGACCTGTTCAGTAGACTTAAACACCTAAAACAAACCAGTAATCAATACTGTGCACAGAAAAACTAACCGAAAATCATATTTGCATTCCATCAACAGTTTGGTGTATCTGACATACACTGAATTCTGTTTACTTCATTACTGCTACAAATTCCTTAAAAATGTTCTTTTCATAATGCATAATTATCTAAAAGAAATATGGTAAGATACTTCCCAATACGCATCAGGTCTATCACTCTACCATTCAGTAAATGCTGCAGCAAATTAAACAGTACCTATTAACTAGACCTAAGAGACAATGGCTGGATAATTAATACAAAAAAATACTCTTGAATGAACTATTCTGATCAGACCAGCTAATGCTAGTTGAGACTGCACTTCGTGCTACCGACACACACTACACAGATTGTACACTGCTAGATGGAAGGGCTGGTCCACGTCCATTTTTTTAAAACTTCTGTAATACCTATAACTGTATACCCAGTTGACTAATAAATACCTGCTGAAAGAACAGGTATGACAATTTAATGTAACCTTCTCATCCATATGCCTCTCACATACTCACACGTAATTATTTTGTGTGGGGGATCGGGATATGACTTTAACACGCTATGAAATTCTAGCTAAGTAAAATAAAAAAACAACATGGGCTCAGGTTTTCTTGGGTAATGGTTCAAGTCTTTACACTGAGAATCAAACAACCAACTTCTACACATCAAGGAGAAACTTAACAGCAGGGGGGGAAGGGCCTTTGCTGATGCACCTGATGAGAAAATGTTCCTTGTCCACTAGTATTATGCTTTCAGCTTAATGGAACAAAAGGGTCACTAGTTCTCAGATAAGTAACATAAGTTACAATCCTAATTAATGAGTTGTCCTTATTTATGAGAATACAGTTCCAATGCAAAAGAAGTTTACTGTTACATATTAGGAATGGTTCAGATACAATAAGATAATGTTTAGCACTGACATTAACATGTTATTTTAAAGTTCTGATTCCTGAATGCTAGTTTTTTCTCACTTCATATATTCCCCCCAATGAAAAGCTGGTGTGTTTGGTTTCTTATATTATTTTACAAAATGAAAATATATAACTGAATCTTGTAACAGGTTATTAACAAAATCATGAATAGTTATTAAAAAGGTGCCAAAATTGCATGGAACTTACTATGCACTGAACACAAGATCAAAGAACTAGAAAAAAGATAAAAGATGACTATCACTGTACCTATGAATATTGTCTAGAACATGAGATCAATTATAAAATCCAGGGTCTTTCCTATTTTGTCTTATGGTGTTGAACACACGGACGTGTCTATTACATTAACTTGCATTATTTTCAACAAAATATTAGTGGACTCAAAATCTTGCATTTTAGTTTCTAATTATAAAAATCCAGATTAATCCAGAAAACATAAACCACATGTAATTGAGGTAGGTTTTCCACCTTAAGAATACATTGCTTCGGGCCGGCCCCATGGCGTAGCAGTTAAGTGCATGCACTCCACTGCTGGTGGCCCGGGGTTCGGATCCCGGGCACACACCGAGGCACCGCTTGTCAAGCCATGCTGTGGCAGCGTCCCATATAAAATGGAGGAAGACAGGCACAGATGTTAGCCCAGGTCCAGTCCTCCTCAGCAAAAAAAGAGGAGGATTGGCATGGATGTTAGCTCAGGGCTGATCTTCCTCACACACACAAAAAAGAATACATTGCTTCTACCACAATTAAAAAGTTACTAAAAAATATATATATTGCTTCATGTATCTGCCCCGATACTTAATTTTCTATGCTTTAAAGTACTTGAGCAAGTGTGACAATGCTAATCTACTCTATTTAGTAAACTACCTAGAAATACACACCCTAAAGCCTTCCTCTTTCTAAAGTTAATGTAGTGCAATAAAATAACAATTCTAGAAAAATGAAATAGAGCTTACTTCAGTAATTCTCAAGTTAATGCATGTCAGAAATCAGGGAGGCAAGTCATGTTCATTTTAAAGATAATAAACATTATTTTGAAAATAATATCATAAACACATTACAACTTTGGATATGCTTTATTATACCACAAATTCCCAGAAGATATAAGAAATATTATTTCAAATCAGACTAATAATTCCACAAATACTAGCACTTTGTTGACAATAGCCAAGTTTTTAAGGTAGTGCACATGTACTTACGTTACCTTTTTAAAATCTCAATGCCTTTTATAAATTTTAAAGGGAAAGTGTAGCAGATCCTACTTCGTCAGTGTACAAATCTAAATGTGATATAAATATACATTTTAAGGACAGGAAGAAGGAATGCATGTGAATTGTTCTGCTTAAGCTGTCAGGCTCCTGTATTTGCACTAGGTACCATTATGTAAAAGGTCATTATGGGAAAAGTTCCCAATAAACTGAAGAAAAAAAAATTTTAAAAACACTTCAGTCTTTAAAAGCATTAATAATTGGTATAATTTTAAAAGGAGAAATGAAATATTCTTTCACTTACATATGGATTAAACAGAAAATTCAAAATACTTCTTTTACTGAAAAACCAATATACTAATATATTTTAAGGCTGGATACTGACAGCATTTTCACAACATCCAAAGTGTGGATGGGAAACTAGGCAATACTGATGATTTTGGCCCAATACCTGAGGGTAACTAAAGGGAGACAAGCGCTTCACTGCTAGAGGTGGTGACGAGCCTGGCATACCATCTGACATGTGGGCAGCACATCAGTGTCCCCATGCTGGGTAATAATGTCCAAAAAGGATGTCTTTATGTAGTAATTCTGCAACTATATCAAGTTCAGTAATCTAACATTGAACTTTTTGGTAAATATATATACGGACATATGAAAACTTCCCTGAAGACCAGGTAAATTATTAATAAACTAAAAGGGAAAAAAATGCTGGTAGCTATTATTATGTTAATTGCAGGGTCTCCAATGGAAGATACAGGAGGAAAGAGGCAACAGCAGCTGTTTCCAAACCTAAGTTATGATCAGAATCATCAGACAATGAGCTTTAAAAATTCTAACAGAGAGAACAGTTTGGTGGTTACCAGGGGGCAAGGGGTTGGGGGGGTGGGCACAAGGGGTGAAGGGGCACATTTATATGGTGACTGACAAATAATAATGTACAACTGGAATCTCACAATGTTATAAACTATTATGACCTCAACAAAAAAGAAATTCTGTCTAGGGTCTCAACCTAAACTTATCTAGAAGCTACAGCCAGGGAATTCTTTTTAAGCAACTCAAGTGATTCTGATCAGCCAAGATTGAAACTTCTGAAGTGGGAAGGTGGGGAGCCAATCTAGGCAACTGCACAAAGTTTTAGAATTCAACCTCTGATATTTATCATTTACTCTACAGTTTTTCCAACTGTCTCTCCTTCCCTATTTTTCTATTAGTGAATAATGAAGGGGCTTGGCAAGTGAAGGAAAAAAGAGTCAGCAGGGTACCCAAAATGGATTTTACTGTGTTCAAGTCACTTATGTACATTAATCGGATAAAAGGGTATCAGTATATACTGTCTGAGACTCAACTCTCACGCAGACATTTCTTAATGTTAATGTATTTTAAAGGAGGGGGTTTCCTTACTCAATATGAAAATGTAATATAAAACAATTCTAAACACTAACGATATTTAATAGAAGAGAAAATTTGTATAAGTCTTCAAAATAACTCTGTCTTCAAAAATCCAATGTTAGGGAAAAAATCCCTTAAATTTGAGGTAGGGGAATAATTCTCTCACGTGAGAACAACTGTGTCACAGTGTTATTCTCAAAGTTAGAAATTAGGTATTTAGTACTATTTTTGTTTATGTACTGTTTTGTTAATGTTAAGTATAAATGTTTTAAGTATGTATAAATATTTTGGTTTTGATTTTAATGCATATAATTAAAAAATGGATTTTTTTCTTATACACTGAAATTGTACACATTCTCCAGGCTTGATGAATAAAACAACTTTTAAATATCCCGTGTTCACTTATAAACCTTGGAATAATAAAAAAGGTAGTACCCACAAAAGAAATTCTACATTAAAATTACAATTGTATATTTTTCAGAAGTTAAAATGATTTAAAATTTTTTTCAATATTCAAATACAAAATAGTACATTTTAATTTACTATAGCACAATTCAAGTATTCTTTTAAATTCTATATTTAGCCAACTAGTACATGATATTAAGTGACTTTTTATAATAGTTTTCCTTTTTAAAGATGACTTATATAAAATAGTGTGCCTCTATATTATTCTAAATTGCTCAGAATAAATTGCAAGAACAAATGACAGCAGACAAAGACCTTTATGACTAAATCACCAACACATAAAAGGTTGCACACATCAGTAATAAGGCATTTGCAGGTAACTCCCCAAAAGTATTTAAATTCATGTAAACAAAGACTATGTATATTACTTTAGGGAGAAAAATGCACTACCACAGATAAAATATATTCAAATGGTTGTGACTTTAAACCACATATTATTTGAATACCACACAAAACCAAAAGAGGCATAACCTATCATTTTAATAACTGAAAGATGTTACTTATTCGTGAAATAAAAGGTTGACATTTTGAAACTAATAATGAAAAAGAAATATTTTGCAAATAAACATCCACTGTTTTCAAGAAATAAATATACAATATTTAGTTAGTTTAATGTATTGCAGCATAGGAATATTGTCCTAGCATTAACCATAACATTCAATCAGTAGTTTTAAAATTTTTTTCCACACTGAGCCTTGAAGCTTCTACCTTGTTAGTTGCCCAACAACTTTCAAAAGAGTTTTATTCTCCTGCTTTAGTTGTTCATTTTCATCTTCTATGTCATCTAGATCCTTAAGGAAACAAAAAGGAAAATAGTACGTGAGTTTTTAAACACTTAAACATATTCTGAAGGTGATAAAAACATTTCAAAAAATACACATTCAAAGATAGTTCATACAAGCAATTAACTTGGAAAAGAGGGCAAGTTCTGAAAACTTTAGATGGACTATGCCCCACCTAAAGGAGGCATCCACTACTTAACTCTTTCTCATTGTTGTTGTCGTGGTAATATGGGCTAACTCTTGCCAGATCTTTCAGTTTTTCAAGAAAAGCTAGAAATCAGAATTATTTAAATGTGAATCTTCCAATTTTTAATCATTACAAATAACTTAACTTTTTAGTTAAAAACAAATCCTCTTCTCCCTAAAATTGAGGGCTAAATTTACAAAATACATATGCAGGCAATATGAGGTTCACAGAGCCGGACTGCAACCTAGTGTCAAACTAGGCATCAGAAAGATCCAGGTACAAGTTCTGGATGTACTCCTACCACCTTGTGTGATATTTAACATGTTGGGGCATTAAACTGGGCAGCTGACAGAACCAAGGCATACAGAAAAGGAGATCTGGGGCATGTAGAGTTGATCCGGTTCAATTTATATGTTAGAGTTCTCTATGACATTTTCTTTGAGGGCAAGGTTTTAGAGCTTAAAAAAAAAAAAACAACTGAAAGTCACTAAACTAGATAATCCCCCTCCAGCTTTTAAGTTATATGATTCCAGCTCTACATTCTCTACATTAATCCTAATACCATATATACAACTATTTGGTAAATATGAAGACAATTCACTATAAGTTTTAGTTAGAAGAAACATTATTTCAAGGCAGACTATTTACTGATGTTTGAAAAAGCAGAGATTTATCCTTGCAATTCAAAATACTAAAACTTGGTGCAATCAATTTGAATTATAAGTGTGCTACTGGATAGTGGTATTCTGATAAATTTAGCATACTGTCTTTGGACAATTAGGTAAATGACTTAAAACTGTACAAAAACAGAATTTGCATTTACTTACAAACTGAATGACGTTGGGAAATTAATCTGTTGAAAACAACAATAAAGATATGGGATTCCTAAAATTACTACAACTGAGACCTACCTGAGATTTAGAATTAAATGATAAAACACATTCATGTATCATGACTAGATTATAAACTCTATAAGGACAGGTGTTTTTTTCTTCTTTTTAATGCACACAGTGCCTAAGACAGTGCTAATACATCATAGACATCAAAAATATTTGCATATTTTATTAAACCATATTCCAGAACCAACAGAGGAATGCCTGTGTTCTGAACTAAGACGAAAGGCAGTCTACAAGAATGGGAAGAGCTCACTTAGAACTAGGTCTATGGAATACCTGAGGTCCAATACTGGCTCAGCTGATTACTATGTGATTACAACACATGACCCTGAGCAAGTTACACTCTGAGTTTCAGTGCCCTCATCTATGACCTATAGTTAATGCCTTAGAACTTTATTAGAATGGGTCTGCACAATAAAGCTGCTCAACTGTCTCTTCTTTCACTGTTAGAATTAAGATTGGATTAGGAATCTGTTCTTTTTTCCCCTGAAGCAAAGTTCTTTCCTCCGTCTTATCTAAATCCTTCTAACAGCAAAACTATGGAATCTCTTCCCATCATCATTACCTAAGTATGTGGCCTAGCACTAATAGCTGCTTCTTAAGTAGGAAACAAATCCTAGGGCTGAAAGAAAAAAAAAAAAGAGAGAGCTACCAACAGCAGTAAGTCCTTGGGGTAAGGCTAAACCTAAAGTTGGGGATGCATACGTATAATTGGACGGAAAAAAAAGTGGTGAAAATAAAAACACATCTGGAGTTTCTTATGACAAGAAACTAGCAATTTTAGTTCTTCATTGAAGCAACTCTTATTGGCACTAGCCAATGCCTTTTTCTGTGTGGTGGTGCCCAAGCTGCCTCTCACATCCGGGCTCTAACAAAACACAGAACAAATCCATTCATCAGTCCATCCCCAAAAAGAATAGTAAGTGAATTCAACTGATAATTGGCCAGAGGAAATCAGTTTATGGAATGAAATGATGGTTCTTACTACCACAAATTACTATCTCATTAAAAAAAGAATGAACTAAATAATGAAATTAGATATTTCTTCACATTTATGTATTTTCATCCAATTGCCAGAAAAAAAGGAAACCGTGAAACTGTAATATGTGAATACTCACTCTATTTAACAAATCAATTTCTTCTTTGAGTTTTCCAATCATTTCCTCTTTATCTTGCATTAGTCTCACAAGTCTTAGGTTTTCTTGCCTTTCTCTTACTACTTCCTGGTAGACATAATTACAAAGTATTAATTGGAAAGAAATTGGTTGTTTATAATCTTAAATGGCACATATCTGCCAAGTTTGGTGAAGTACCTTAGATATATGAAGATTTCCAATAAATTTTTTTTTTATTAAATTTTTTATTTTATTTTATTTTTTTTTTTCCCCCAAAGCCCCAGTAGATAGTTGTATGTCATAGCTGCACATCCTTCTAGTTGCTGTATGTGGGACGCGGCCTCAGCATGGCCGGAGAAGCGGTGCGTCGGTGCGCGCCCGGGATCCGAACCTGGGCCGCCAGCAGCGGAGCGCACGCACTTAACCACTAAGCCACAGGGCTGGCCCTCCAATGAATTTCTTAATCACTTGGTGAGGGAAGGAGAAACCCATCCCAGAAAAGAACCAGAGAGGAATATAGGAGTTTCTGATTAAATCTATGTTTATACAAGTCTGTAACAAATACGAATACTCAATGACTTATCCTCTTTAGCTTATCACCACCATTAGTAATGAAATATCTTTACTTTATTAATGGATAATATCCTGTTTGAAATTCAAAATTTTTATTAAAAATACAGAGGTTAAGAAAAGAAGATGGCTTTATAGAAAACTCTAAACAGAAAAATAACGGTCCTCAATTTTACTTCTGACTCTGCCAGTTAACTGGCAACGGATAAAATGAAGGAACTGAAATAGATTACTGATTTTAAACTTCATTTTCTTTAAATAATGCAATACCTTTCTCAAAGAAATCTTTTTTAGAATCGTGGGCCTTGGGCTGGGTCCGCCACCTTGGGGGCAAAAGAGAAGCAGAACTGAAAAGGTCTCACCCAGAACTTGGCTTCTTTCCTACTAACCCTGAGACAAAGTAGCCGGCTGGCCTCATTAATCAGCTGCCGCCAACTACTAGCAACTCAACTCAAACTCTCGTGCAACTCGAAAAGCATTCCTAAAGCACCCCCTTGAACCTGTTAGACTATGTATTCCTGAAAGTTTTTAATTTAAACCCATAGAGGGCCGGCCCCGTGGCTTAGCGGTTAAATGCGCGCACTTAGCTACTGGCGGCCCGGGTTCGGATCCCAGGCGCGCACCGACGCACCGCTTCTCCGGCCATGCTGAGACCACGTCCCACTTACAGCAACTAGAAGGATGTGCAGCTATGACGTACAACTATCTACTGCGGCTTTGGGGGAAAAATAAATGAATAAACAAATAAAATTATTAAACCCATAGAAACTAGTGTAAAAGCTTAGATGTGAACTAAAAATAATCAAAATGTTATAAAATAGAAACAATTTTTTAAAATTAAATCTCTACTTAAAACAATCTTTATATCATAAGGAATAACTTTAGTTCAGCAAAACAAAACAGATTTTTAACAATTAGAAAGTAATTCAGCACCATTATCAATATTAGGGGTTGAATGTCTACAGAACAAACCTGAGACCCTTTGGTTAACAAATTTATGCCAAAATTCATTTGAGTTGTTCTCCAAGGTACTCCTAAAGACAGGTATATTCTTAAAATTATTTCAAACAGCAAAGATGGCTCTAGGCTCTAATTTGGAACCCAGAAGAAAGTCTACAAATGACAATCTGTACAGATAATATACTAAACACACAGTAGTACCTATTGCCAGCACAGACTTCTAACCACTTCAGAGGCAAAGACTGCTTTCAATATATTAGAGATTATCACTTGGCAGAATGGGAGTATCCATTAAATATTAAGAAATACAAGAATGGGCTCCATTTCTAAAAGTTTTAACATCAACAGAACTGGACAGGAAAGTATTAAGAAAATTAGAAATTGCTTAGCCACAATGCATCTAGAAACTATATACATAAGACAGTGATTCAAAGCTGCTGTTTAACTATATATGGAAATACCAATTAACACTAATGATATCTTCCATTAGCGCCCCTTATACTTTTCCATTTTTTGACAGTCTCTCCTCTACAAATTTCAATTTATTTTCTCTCTCAGCTGCTATGAAAGTAAAAAAGGAATCCTAATGGTATGTTAATTATATCAATTTTAAATAATTTATAATTCATACCTTTTCAAGATCTTCAATTTTCTTTTCCAATGTGCTACTTGAGACCAAATTACCTGAAGCATTTGCATCCCTGTTATATCTGCTGAACCCACTTCTATCTGTTCGGGGATATCTACTTGAAACATCTTCTTCAGAGGCAGTGGTTGTGCTATGGAAATAAAAAAATATATTCTATAAAAATCCCTAATACTCAGCAAGAATGCCAAAAATAGTTTATCTTCACCATAAACAATTACCATTCCCCTGAAGACACATGGTTATAGCTGACAACTTATTTATAACTATAGAAGTTAATCATTATTCCAATACAATGAAAAATTTTTTAAAAAAACATTAATTCTTTTGACCAATATCTACCAAGTAGCTGCTGAGTACCAGACACTGTTCTGGATACTGAAGATGTAACAGCAAACACAGACACGGACTCTGCCCTTCAGAGAGCTTTCAGTTTAAAAGGGACTATAACCAGTTACAATAAAGCAAGACGCCCATCATAAGGTAAGCATCGGGTTCTATGAGAACTACCACAGGGGACCTATTGTAGATTATCTGTGAAGAAGAACCACTTTCCTTTTATGTTTCCTTTTTTTTCTAAAAATTCCAATCTATCATTGACCAATACTTTTGAAAGATCAAATAATGTACTGGAGAGGCCAGCCCAGTGGCACAGGGGTTAAGTGCACGTGCTCCGCTTCGGCGGACCGGGGTTCGCAGGTTTGGATCCTGGGTGCGCACTGACACACTGCTTGTCAGGCCATGCTGTGGCAGCGTCCCATATAAAGTAGAGGAAGATAGGCACAGATGTGAGTCCAGGGCCAGTCTTCCTCAGCAAAAAGAGGAAGATGGGCATCAGATGTTAGCTCAGGGCTTGTCTTCCTCATACACACACACAAAAAATGTACTGGAAAAATAAAAGTAAAAAGGCCATACAAAATACAAGTGCAAATGTTCTATCAGATTCCGTTTCATAAAATTATATTTCAATAATACAAATTAGAACAGAAAAAAATTACATAAAATTGCATGTTTCATTGAAAGTATGTATATAGGCAATTATAGAAAACGGCTATCACACTAGTAACTTTTGTCATTTCATAATTCTAATTTAACCAAAAGCTGAGTGAAATTGCAATTACTCATATAAAACACGAATTCACACGTACTGAACCAACAGCACATCTGTCAATTTTTTTAAAGTTTTTAATGTAATAAATGAGCTTGCTTCTTGCCTTCTGTATTAGTTATCTATTACTGCATAAAAAAGTTACAACAAATCTTCGTGGATTAAAACAATACACATTTATCTCACAATTTCTGTTGCTCAGGCATGTTGAAGCAGTTTAGCTGGGTCAGGTGATGATTCAGGGTCTCTCAGGAGGGTTTAGTCAAGATGCTGGTCAGGTCTACAATCATTTGAAGGCCTGACTGGGCTGGAAAACTTGCCTCTAAGCTCACTCACACGGCTGATGGCAAAAGGCCTCAGCTCCTCACTGGCTGTTGGCCAGAAACTTCAGTTCCTCGGTATGTGGGCCTCTCTGTTGGGCTGTTTACCGTATGGCAGCTGGATTCCAGAGAGAAAGTGACACAGGAACCAAGGCAGAAGCTGTAGTATCTACTAGGACCTAATCTCAGAAGTGACACAGTATCACATCAACCCCGTGTTGCAACGGGAAGGGGTGTATGTACCAGGAGGCAGGGCTTCCCAGGGGGGTTTCTTGGAGGCTGGCTACCACACTTGTTAATTTACCTAATCTAGGTTGGGGTGATGACAATGCTGCTCACAAGGGATAAGGTATATCCAAACTACTTCTATGTTTTGTTTTAATAGAACTCGTAACAGAGAAACTAGTTGCACAGATGTATGTTGACAGGAATAGAAGAAGAGATTTTAAAGCAATTTCAGCAAGCTCAAAATATTCATTTTTAACTTTTATCCAAAATGCAGAAAATGACACTTTTCAAAACCTGTCTTTACTTCTCCACTGGTAGCCAGTTCCAATCGTTTATACATCAAAAATAACTTTTGATGAAAAAAATGGATTCCTAATCTATTAATTTCCTATGCATAAGTTTTCTTTTGATGGAAAATAAAATTCCAAGTGTGTCTTTTTTTTCTTTAAAGATTTTATTTATTTATTTTTTCCCCCCAAAGCCCCAGTAGATACTTGTGTGTCATAGCTGCACATTCTTCTAGTTGCTGTATGTGGGACGCGGCCTCAGCATGGCCAGAGAAGCGGTGCGTTGGTGCGCGCCTGGGATCCGAACCCGGGCCGCCAGCAGCAGAGCGCGCGCACTTAACCGCTAAGCCACGGGGCCGGCCCTCCAAGTGTGTCTTATAAAATTTGTAAGGTATTTGATTATAACTTTTTGCAAGTGTACAATACCAAAATCACCACATGCTTTATTGATAATTGTTACTATATTGTGGAACTCATCATAACAATTTCTAGAAACTTTTCCCCCAAATTTCTAACTTTCATTTTTGTTCTTTGATCTTAGAAAACACTGAATACATCTGATAGTCCTTCCTTGCATGAAAGGTTAAGATCATTTAAAAAAAAAAAAAGAATGAAGGTATCAGACAAATAAGTCTAATTCACATAAATAAAAAGCTGGGGACCAAACTGGTTTCTTACCTTGCAAAAACACTTAAGAGTTCATCCCAAAATTCAAACACTTTTGTCTGAGAATTTCCATTTGAAAATCACTGTATACCTCAGCATATGATAACAGCTGATTGGTTCAGCTTCCAAATTATCATTTAACTTTTTAAAAATCTAAAATTTAATACTTTAGTGTTTAAGTAAGTCACACGTCCAGTGAACTACTGTTAATTTAGCTAATATATCAAGTATACTGTTTAGTTCAGCTGACACTGCAAGACTTTCTCAATGAAAGAAGCAGGACATTGATTTACATTCTGGCACAAGTTCCAGCATGTTTCTCCTGTCACTGTCTCCACATAATCAGAATATACTCCTACAAAGCAAAACTCCGAACCATATTTGTTGATTTGTGAACGCTTCCAAGTTTTATATACTTCAGAGCAAGTTGTGTTTGTCAGAAAGGAAGCTGAAAAATAAATTCTTCCTTCATATCGTATTTGTTATGTTAGAATTAACAAAAATTCCTTTGCTATCCTTATTTGTCTGAGTTGGTCTTCTGTATCACTAGACTGTTCCTAAATATATCAAGCTATGGTGTTGCTAGAAAGTATTACATGAATTACCTTCTCTGCTACAGATTCATCCAACATTTCCAGACAAACATCTTTGTCTTGTCATTTGTGCATAGTTTTGTAATGTTAGCAAGCTGAAGTGAGATTTTAAAAGAAACTCAAAGCACTAATGATTACATATAAAATCCTGAAGATCTGCTTCTGTCACCTTCTTAATTGTAACATTCTTTCTTTCAAATAATGCGTTTGTGGTTGTGAATGTATTTATGTCATGCCACTTAAATTTTGATGGTTTTATTGTTTGAGTAGCTAATACATTATCTCAAATAACCCACTGTGGTTTAGCACTTCCCATTAAGTACTGCTAAAAATTTAACTCAGGGGGCCGGCCCCGTGGCGTAGCAGTTAAGTGTGCGCGCTCCGCTGCCGGCGGCCCGGGTCCGGATCCCGGGCGCTCACTGACACACTGCTTGTCAGGCCATGCTCTGGCGGCTTCCCATATAAAGTGGAGGAAGATGGGCACAGATGTTAGCTCAGGGCCAGTCTTCCTCAGCAAAAAGAGGAGGATTGGCATCGGATGTTAGCTCAGGGCTGATCTTCCTCACACACACACACAAACACACTAAATAATAAATTAATTAATTTAAAAAACTTTAACTCAGTACAGGAGGGATAACGTTTCCCAACAAAAGTAGTGCAAACTCTTTGTTTTGTATCTCTTTGAAATTACTTCCATCATCATCATTTGGTTTACCACTAATGTCACATTCGGAAAAGGTATATCTTTTCTTATGAAAAAGTGTAGTAAAGCTTGTTTTAACATAAGTAAATTAGAATTAAAAATAAAGTATATAAATTTTACTTCCTGGATTTAGAAAATACTAACAAAAGCAGAAATTGAAAAGAATGAAAAAGATTTTTACTTTTTATTTCTTGTTTATTTTTAATTATTACATATTCACTTTTGAGTTATTTTATTTATTGAAAAAGAATGTCTGATTGGATTTAACAAAATATTTTTAAAGTAAATAAATACTTACATTTTCTTCAATTCTTACACACTTTGGGTTACAAATGACTAACATAAAAATAACACACATACAGAGGAATACACATTCTTTCCAAGGTCACATGGAGTATCCACCAAGATAGACCATATTCTGGGCCGTAATACACACCTCCACAAATTTAAAAGAATAGAAATCACACAATGTCTGCTCTCGGACCAAAACAGAATTAAACTAAGAGAAAGATAACTGGAAAATCCCAAAATATACGAGATTAATCAACACACCTTTAATAACACATGGGTCAAAGCAGAAATCTCCAGAGAAATTTAAAAATATCTTAACTAAACAAAAATGAACCCAGAACTTAAAATCTGGAGGATGCAGTGAAAGCAGTGCTTAGAGGGAAATTTATAGCAGTGAATGCATATATTAGAAAAGAAGATCTAAAATGAATACTCTTTAAGTTTCTAACTTAGGAAACTAGAAAACAGAGGAAATTAAATCCAAAGTCAGCAGAAGAAATGAAATAAGAATTAGAGCAGAAATCAATGAAATTGAAAACAAGAAACAAATACAGAAAAATCAATGAAACCAAAAGCTGTTTCTTTGAAATGATCTTTTTAAAATTAACAGGCCTCTAGCTAGGCTGAGAAAACAAGAAGACACACATTACTAGTATCAGAAACGAAAGAGGGGACATCACTAAAAATTCCATGGACATGACAAGGATGATAAAAGAATACTATGAACAACTCTGCCTACAAATTTGATAACCTAGATGAAATGGACCAATTCCATGAAAGACACAAGCTGCCAAAACTCACACAAGAAGAAACAGACAATCTGAATAGGCCTATCTCTTCCACAAGACAGAAGCAGAGGGAATGCTTCCTAACTCTTTCTATGAGGCCAGCATTACCCTAATACTAAAATCATACAAACACATCACAAGAAAACTAC